GGTATAAATTATTTTGCAAAATGCAGATATATATGAAAATATCAATTTTGCATTCCATACAAACGGTAGAGCTGCAAACTAGAGGCCAACAAGAAAGTTGCCCTTGGTGTAAAAATTATTTTATTGAATAAATTAATAAAAAAAAATTATGTGCTTAATTTTTTGGCCCACCATATATTATATAAAAATTTTCACAATGGATGTACTCTTATTTATTAGTATAAATTAAATCAATTAACGGAAAGGGTTAAAAAAATTAATGTAAACGAAATATTGACAAATTAGTTTATAAATAATTCAGATGTCTCTTGTTTAATTTTTAGCATAATACAAATTATTATGAACAATAATAGTTATTACTGAATATACCATTATAATCTTATTTTTAAGAATTTCGATATTAAATGTAGTAAATTCGACATTTTGCTTTTTTCATATTTAATTTGACAATTATTTTTTTTATTTTTCAAATTTGGATTTTATCCATTCGATATTTTGTATTTTCTAATAAATATATTTTCGATATTTTGTAATTTAGATATTTAAAAATTTATTGCAGAAGAAATATTTTCTTTTTGAATTAGTAATATCAATTTAACTTTATCTTAAATCTGAAGTCTCAAAGAGAACTAAAGTTCTCAATTTAAAGAAGAAAACGTACTTCATTAACATAATCTACTTCTATTGAGATATATTAAACGGAATTAAAACATTAACTTGAAATTGCTCTTCTTATTCGCATTGCGTTCGTTTTATTTAAATCTACTTTTGAGAGCAAAAACAAAACTTGTACAGGACTGAAAAACAACTCACCTATCCGCTTTAAGATATCATCAGATTCCTTCATCGGCTAGATGACGCTGAAAAAAAAGTAAAAATTAGCAAAGCATATCTGCACTTCATATCAGATAAAATTACATGCAATCAAAGCTTCAAATGTACAGGGAAGGACTTAATAAATATAATTTAGCTAAGCAGGTAACTAAATGATATAGGGAGTGCTACAGGGATAATGTTTTAGATAAGATTGGAAATAGCGTAGTACATACTAAATATGAGATGAGAAGTGGAATGAATATGACAATGGGTAAAAATTGAAATTTTATTAAATATTTGGCAAGGGCGCTTTTGGCTTTCAAAGCCATTATTGAAAGGCATTATATGATAACAATCAATTAAAAGAGAATTAATTCCAAACCTATGTCTACTCAATACCACCACTGCAAATTTTTAGAACTAATAAAAACATTTGGAGGCTACAATATTAAAAATGAATACCAAAAAAAGGATGGTTCTGGTTAACAAACACTAGTTAACTCTAATAATTTAGTGAAATGCCAATAATCGATATTAAAATTGATTATTTAATATTATCGATCATCGACTGCGAGCTGTGACCGGTGACACGCATCCCTAGGTTGTAGACATAAGATATATTAACCAGACGTTGACAAATAGAATTTAAGGAGAATATAATGAGAATATAATGTAAAAATAATCAGAATATGATGAGAATATAATGAGAGTATAATGAGAATATAGTGGGAATATAGTAGGGATATAATGAGAATATAGTGAGAATATAATGAGAATATAATGAGAATATAATGAGAATATAATGAGAATATATTGAGAATATAATGAGAATATAATGAGAATATAATGAGAATATAATGAGAATATATTGAGAATATAATGAGAATATAATGAGAATATAATGAGAATATAATGAGAATATAATGAGAATATAATGAGAATATAATGAGAATATAATGAGAATATAATGAGAATATAATGAGAATATAATGAGAATATAATGAGAATATAATGAGAATATAATGAGAATATAATGAGAATATAATGAGAATATAATGAGAATATAATGAGAATATAATGAGAATATATTGAGAATATAATGAGAATATAATGAGAACATAATGAGAATATAATGATACTATAATGAGAATATATTAAGAATTTAATGATAATTTTATGTTATTTACTCATAGTTGATTTAGCTCTTTTGCATAAAAACTAGAAAATAATAAAAAAACAGCGACCCTTGCAGTTCCTGGAAATAAAACCATATATAAAATGACATGAGTAAATTTCATGTTTGATGACTGGGCTGTAAAAAAACTCAGCTTCCCCGGTGGTGCATTAAATTAGTAATAAAATTAGCTTTCAAATAAAGTGTCATCCTTTACAATACGTAACATTTTTATCGAACAAAAGGGCGCTAAAATTAAAAGTAACACAATTACTAGTCTTATTGCCGAATTCTCTATCAAATTACCTTTTCAATAATTTGTCATTCTTGGTATTTTCTATGTTTAAATTGTAGGGTTTTTCACGCTACTGTTCTAAGGTTAAAGTGCCGATGCCGCAATAAAAAAAAAGTATCCCCTCCAAATTAAAATCGAGTGGTCTAAGCCGTTTTTTGCATCAATACGAAAAATATAGGGTAATATTTTTTGGTGGCGCGCCCTGTATATACAAATATAATAATAAAAAGATTTACATATCATAAATACAGGCAAAAACGTTATAAAATAATATTGATAAAGTAAAAATAAATTCTATTCAATTAAATGAATCGATGAGTTCAAAAACCTTAAAAGTTCGTCATCTTTATTTAAATATACATTGTATACCGTTTTGTTCTTAGAAAAATGTATAGCTAGAATCCGATTACAATAAGAAGAAAACCGCTATGTCATAACTAATATTTCAAATTTCAAATATCATCTTATAACTATCAAAAAATAAAGAATATGTGGGTTGTTTGGTTTAAACATACCTCTGATTCCTACATTGCTATAATATGAATAGGCCAGTAGGCAGTAATATCCAACGAATTACTCCGCTAATTGATGACGTAGCTGTGTTCTTCTAATTGTAATCGGACCCTACCAATAAACCCCAAAAAACCATTAGATCTATAACATTTATATGCATGCGAACACCCAAAAATAAGTAATTAAAATCTAATTAAAAAAAAGCTCTTTGGTCTTCGCACTCACCGATTCAAATGCAACTTTATGTAAAAACGAAAATTTTAACTCCAGTGATATTATTACATGTGAAAATCTCACGCCGCTGCCATTCACTTACACACCGTCACCGTATAGATAGTCGGCAGCAGCACCGTAGAGGGCATGTTACTGACCTAGGCTGAACTCTCAAGGTCGTCTAAAGTAGTTATTAATAGAAACTTCTGTTCGACCGCAAGCGAGAGATATCAATGATCGCGAAGACGATAAACCCGTTTTCGTATGAACATTTTTATTATACTCTATATTTTCTAATGACGCGATTCTGTTGACACTTCCGAATGAATTCAAGCGATGTGAATCGATGTCGATATTTTTTTTAAATGTATAAATTTAATCGATATTATTTTTTATTAACGATATTATTGTTTTGTTTCAGGTAACTATGCGTTTTCAAACATGAAACATACAACGTTTGTAGAACTGTAAGTAAATTTTTCAAATAAAAATATACAATCGGAAATTTGGTAAAGAATCGTTAGGGTTTTGTGTTTATTGTTACAGTACTTATTTATTTATTCTATACAGGAATTAAGCCTAAAATTACATGGATTATTTAATTATTAAAAACATATATTCACTAGTTTACAGTACATCTGTTGCCGAAGAAATTTCAGCTGTTGCTGACTACATATGATATGCTATTTTCAAAAATATAATTAGAAGATTTTTATCAGCTCTAGTTTCTGAGCTTCAGCTATGTAGATATAAAACAGAAGAAAACATGTATTTACTAAGAAAAACGTTACTAAAAAAATAATTAATCATTGAGTTCCAAAAAACTTCGTTTTAAAGCTCTTCTCTTATGTGTAGACTTTGGAAAATAACGTATCAGAGACCAACATTAGTCAGACATTATATTCGTGTCCCAGAAACCCTGATAGCGCTCTTCCATGACGCGTAAGTCTTGATGCGTACGTTCTCCCTGCTCTTCGCTCATATCTCCTAAATTTTCCTGAAACTTGTACAGGTGACTATGGAGGAAGTAGAGTTTTATGCTCATATTGCACCCCATATTTTTTAATTGTAGCAGAAGGTCTTCTACAAGTTCAATGTAATTTGCAGATTTTTTATTTCCGAGAAAATTCTGCATCACAGAGACGAAAGCTGTACAAGCCTTTAGTTCTAACTTAGTCACAGAATTTATAAATTGAGTATCTTTCGTAAGTTGTCTAATTTGGGGGGCCATCAAAAATACCGCTTTTAATCTGTTTCATAGTGAGCTGAGGAAATTTTTGGCAAATGTAGGAAAAGTAGTTTCCGTCTTTATCTAGTGATTTAACAAACTGTTTCATGATACCCAGTTTTATATGTAATGGTGGAAGAATAATTTTGTCACGAGCTACTAATGAATTCTGGACCATATTTTACTTTCCAGGCTTCATATTTTCTCTCAAAGGCCAGTTTCTTCTTACCCAATGCTCTTGTTTAGCTCTACTGTCCCAAAAACATATAAAACCTGGAAACTTAGTGTAATCACTTTGTTGACCGAGAAGAATGTTCACCATTTTTAAATCGACACAAATTTGCCACTTATGGTCACTGTATTTTATTTTGTTGAAGACTAGCGAAGTGTTACAATATTCTTCCTTTAACTTTGTACTGTGGGCAATAGGTAACCCATCGTATTTATTTCCAATATGTAATAGAATACATTTTAGGCTGTCAATGAATAAACGCCAGTCATTTGGTTCGTATTGTTCCAAGTCCATTTTTATTAACAAGTTTTTAATATCTGAACTAAAGGTAATACCGTTTTCTTCGGAAAAATAACGCCGTAATTCTTTATCTTTTTCACGATAAAAACTTATTTTAATATCTGAGGAAAGCAATTTTTTTCTTTCAGTCTTGATGCTAACAATTCTGAAGCTTGTTTAGAAAGATTTAAATCTCTTACAAGATCATCTAACTCATTTTGGGAAAAGAATTTTGGCTCATTTGACATACCTTCAAAATCAGCATTAAAATAACAGTCTTCGAGATGATTTCGTGATTCTCGCCAAATAGTCGGTGTTTCAAATTTAAAGGCATTTCTTTTACCACTTTTCCATAATCTTCAATATTCCACACACGATTTACAAACACAATTGGGAGCCCAAGACTTCTCATTTTTATCCAAGAGCATCCCAAAATACTCAAACTAGGTATTTTTCACCAACTCTGATATAACTTTTCTACAATCGTTAAACACATATTCTCCGTATATACAGGGTGTACCAATAAAAACTCCCAGGCCGGATATTTTGGTAAGTAATAGAGATATTTTAATTCTGTAAAAGTCAGTTTACAGAGCACTAAGAGAGCTTCAGTTTTAGATATAAATTGATTTTAAATAGGTCAATATGTAGATGGCGCTGCGCTCAATAATTTTTTTTCGATTTAAGGATTTCTTGTGTAGCGCATCTTGTGAAAAATGCATTTTTAAGCAGATTTTGTTTTATGAACTAATTCGATAAATCTACCCATTTTTGATATACAGAGTGGGTCATTCAAAACAGTTTGAGAGAAAATATTGAGAGCAGCGTCATCTACATATTGACCTATTTAAAATCAATTTATATCTAAAACTGAAGCTCTCTTAGCGCTCTATGAACTGGCTTTTACAGAATTAAAATATCTCTATTACTTACCAAAATATCTGGCCTGGGAGTTTTTATTGGTACACCCTGTATAGCAAAAATGATCTGGATTGTTTAAACAACGTCTCCTTGAACAGTTCTCATGACGTAAAAACTTCAGAAACCAATCAGTACAATACGCCTGTTATCGATTAATATATACGCTTAAATGAAAAAATCAAAAACAAAGTAACTCGAGCTGCTCAAAACATTTTGAGGTTAGATTTGACAAAAACAAGTCATAAATAAACATTATCAACCACAAAATTGGCGGCAACAGACAAGAAGTTAAATTTTGTAAACTAATATTAACAGTGCGTTTCATAAGGAATGGTAAATTTTAATCATAGGTTAAGAACTTTAAACAAATAATATTTTACTAAATAACAATTAGATACAGGGGCAAATTTATTTTTCGATTTTTTTGTAAAATATTTTCGTTATTATTTAACGTATTGACTTAAAATTTTGTATGGCTATATTTTTCTGCTAGTAAATAATGGGTATGTTATTAATTTTTAGATTAGATAAACAGGCCACTTAGAGTCTACTGGATAAAAAAACTATTTTTTTAATTCTTGGCATTTCTAATAATCTTTAAAGTACAAAAAACGTATACTTGTTTTATTAGCATAAATTCAACCTATTTCAAAAAATTTTCATTTATAATATTTCTAGCCACAGTATCTATTTAATTTACTTTACAATATTTCAACAAAGTTGACTTTAAAACAAAAATAAAAAGGTTCAGATGTCAAATCTTGAATATTACGTTTTTTTGTTTAAATGTGCCATTAAGACTTGAAAAAAAAAATAGAAATGTTAAAAATATAAAAAAAATTACACTTTTCTTCATCCAGTAGATTGTAGATAGTGACATCTTTAAATTAATAACATGCTTATAATTTGCTATACCTAAAATATATTCATACCAAATTTCAAATCAATACGTTAAATAATAACGAAAATATTGCAGCAACTTTAACATCCTGTATCTCAGAAATAGATAACATTTGTCCGAGTATTATTTGGCAAAATATTCATATTTTGAGATCCTGAACCTATCTATGATTAATATATTTTCCATTCCTTATGAAACATAATATACATACAATAATATTAAACAAACCTTATCCAATACAAAAGCATTGCTTATTAAACAATAATAAATATCAAAAATATATGTATACAATCATAGGTACATAGATAAATTATTTAAAATAGTCTTTAAAATTTTTCTTAATTTGTCGTAGGGTTAAGAAAATATATAATTATCATAGTTAGCAGAGGAGATCAACAGTGGATGATAAAGAATAGTAGTGAACTTTAAAAGTTTGAAAATGCCACACACAGTCTCAAAGTACATTAAAATTTAATAATATACATTTGGATCAATTATTTCCAAGTTTAGTATTTTATATAAAAACAACCGCCAATCGATTACCGTCACTAACTCGATTGTCGTCCGTCATCGACATCCGTAAAGGGTTAAAATATAAAATATAATAACCGAAACTGTAATATTTTTCATCAATAGCTCAAAAAAAATATACATAAAATTAGAAAAATATCTAATCCGGGCGGCCTGGAGCGAATAAATGTTTTCCAAGCCAACTTTTATTATAATAATTACTGTCACAACCAAGTTTAAATCTTCTATACAAAAATAAAATTTAAATAATTAAATATTTTTGCCATCTAAGTAAACGAAATGGGAGCATCCTGCAACAAATCCTAAAGATATATTTGTCTTCTTGCAAATTTCTCCAAAGTAGATTGCATCATACCTAAAAAATTATCTATATTAAATAAAATTTATTGTGAAAGCATATTGTCCAGCAGTACCTATTCGCAAAGTTTGTATGTTTAGGCAAATTTAGAGTTTATTTTAAAGATTTTTGTAATAATTATTATAACACTCTCCTTACAAGTCCACCTTTAAGTTCCTATGAAGAAGATTTAAACTGGACAAATTATTTTCAACAATTTATGTTATACCAGTTACAAAATGAAATAAACCGTTTTTCTGGACTGAAATAAAAAAAATACAATTTTCTAAGTTTTAACAACATCAAATAATTTTATTATTAATGGACACGATAAGTTATTGTCAATACATCTCGCGCTGTAAAATTTACCGTGAGAACAACAAAGAACATCATCTATATAGTATTATTCTGTCACCTTGTCAAGAATAATAAAGCATTGACGAAGGAATTGAAGAAAGATGGTAATCTATCAAAAGCCGATGATGCTTCGAAAAAACTATAAATAAAATGAAAATGACTGTTAGTCACTTGCCATTGTGGTATAAAATATTTTATCTACGACTAATCTATATTATGAAAAATATACATAGGTTTACTTAATAATAATATCCATTATTCACTAATGAATAATGATTTTAAGAATTAAAGGCTTAAATACGGGTGTGTACATAAAAAGATAAAATTATGGCTTACGATAAAACGTAAAGTCAAAGCGCTTCCACTATTAATTTTAATTTGAAAAGTCAAAAGTTGTTCGATTTATTTAACCGCCGCAGTTTTAAAGTACTTCATTAAAAAAACTTAAAAAATGGATACCGATGAGATATCTTATACTCCTCCAGATATACAGGAAGGAATTTTAACTTATTGCCGGAAAAATCGAAAATATATAAATCGTTTGTACAAAGGAGGATTGACAAGAAAACGAATTCATTCACAGGTAAGTACTCTAAAATACAGGGCGTACCAACGAAAACTTGACCTTCCAGAAAATCAGAAACGAAGGGGTTTTCAAAATTAAAAAAACACACGTCTACTTTTATTTGCAAGGGGGCAACAACCTCCTGGAGCCTGGCAGCAGCCGGGTATATATTTTTTTATCACGTATGATCATGCAACGCATCATTTGCATGGTATTTTTCTCTATTACGCCACTCCGTCAGCAGACATTGCAGAGCTGCGACAGAAAATTGTTAGTTACCAAATGTCGATTATTGACACCGGACTTATATGCGAATGAAAGAAAAACCTTTGAAAGTAGATAGAAGATCATTATACGTAAGTTAATGAAGGTTATTTTGAACAGCACCTTCTTCAAATTAAAAACTTATTTTTACGGTTTAATACCTCATTATTCTGAACTTCATATTATATCTTGTCTTATAACAAGACCAACAATTGTAGGTTTTCTAAACAGAGATAACACAATGCATCTTACCTCATTTTAGTACTACAATATGTTTAATTATATCATATCAATGAACAGGTATGGAATTAAAATTTAGGATATCTGGATTCTGAAATTTCTAAGACGCTCATGTAATAATGAAGTAGATCTCTAGCGCGTGTATATGATTTTTAGATTTTGGTCACCATAATGGACTAATATGACTAAAATAAGTAAGCCCATAGAATATTCAGTCTCCAATAAAGAAATACTGATACGTGGATGACTTTTAATCAGCGGCATATACACAGTGGACAAAAAACGTCAAATTTTCTCAAAACCGGGTTTTCAAATGACCAAAATTGCTCGCTTTAATTTTTAAATGAAATATTGTTTCATTTTTGATTCTAATTTTTAATCCTAGTTCAACAGACTATAATACTTCACTTTTTATAATTTCATATTGCATGTAAAAACCAAATTGACCAGTATTATCGGAAGAACGGTCAATCTTACAAAAGCGCGAAGTGAAATTGGCATGTTCTCAAATTTTAATTTATATATAGTTGGTCACTTGCACACAAGGCATCTTTATTAAAACGTATCCTTAAAAATCACTTTAAAGAATTTCTAAAGAATTTAGGTGAGTTCTAGCAACACCATCCCATTCTAAAATGTTCTTAAATGTTGTTTCCAAAATGTTCTAAAATGTTCTAAAATGTTCTAAAATGTTCTAAAATGTTCTAAAATGTACTAAAATGTTCTAAAATGTTCTAAAATGTTCTAAAATGTTCTAAAATGTTTTAAAATGTTCTAAAATGTTCTAAACTGTTCTAAAATGTTCTAAAATGTTCTAAAATGTTCTAAAAATGTTCTAAAATGTTCTAAAATGTTCTAAAATGTTCTAAAATGTTCTAAAATGTTCTAAAATGTTCTAAAATGTTCTAAAATGTTCTAAAATGTTCTAAAATGTTCTAAAATGTTCTAAAATGTTCTAAAATGTTCTAAAATGTTCTAAAATGTTCTAAAATGTTCTAAAATGTTCTAAAATGTTCTAAAATGTACTAAAATGTTCTAAAATGTTCTGAAATGTTCTAAAATGTTCTAAAATGTTCTAAAATGTTCTAAAATGTTCTAAAATGTTCTTAAATGTTCTGAAATGTTCTAAAATGGTATAAAATGTAAAATATTCTAAAATGTTCTAAAATGTTTTAAAATGTTCTAAAATGTTCTAAAATGTTCTAAAATGTTCTAAAA